TTTTTTTTTTTTTTGTGCCAGGTCAGTTGGGTGCCTCATGGGCGTTCAGTGCCACTGGGTCACTGGAGGGACAACATTTTAAGAAAACAGGAAAACTTGTTGCACTCAGCGAACAGAATCTCCAAGACTGCTCTGGGTGTGGCAAGGTATCTTCTCCCTCGGAGGGATTTGTGGACTGCGCATTCTTGTAAGCAAACAAGGAACGCTTTATTGCGTCATCTCTTTCTCTCAGTGTCTCTAGATCGCACTGTCTTTGGCAACGCCGATCCAGTGTTTGGTTGTAGGTCAAATTAAAGAGTGAAACTCGATTATCCTGTTACATACAGGCATCACGGTGAAAAAGATCTGAGCTGCGTGCTTGAGGTTATTTTCAAGTCCATGACAAGAAAAACTGATTGAATGTCGACCTAGAACGCGATTACGTTAGTTTTGTTTGGACACGCAAACTGATTGGTCTAGGAACATAATTCGACTCAAAACTCGGTCGTTAGAGATTTTCAGGCCGCCTCTTCAAGGCATTCAATTTCAGTTCCGATTAGCTCTTTGAGATATCCTTCTCTGTTCTGATTGGTTGTTGCTATTACTCTGGCTTTGTTTTACGACATCCAGTCAAAGTGCGCTCGAAAGACTTGATGCCAAAGTAGGAGTGCACCACGCGAAGGTACCATATGTATTCAGCTGAAATTTGCGGGCATTTTGCGCCTGTTGCACTCGCGTAAAATAGGTATTCAGTTTCATGGAGGAAGCTTTCCATTTAGTCGAGTTTGTTATGAACAGTTGTAGTTTCGTTGCGTGACTTTGAACAATGCGTGATTATCGAAATTTACGTGATTATTTTTTCTATGTTTCTCTGTGGTTTTAAATAGTTAAGCGATTGCGGTTTCCTATATATGACAGCTCATGAATAGTTCGTTTTCCTTTATTTGACAGTTTATGAATAGTTCGTTTTCCTATATTTGACAGTTAATGAATGGTTCATTTTAGGGCTAGGTTTTTTAGGTTTTGATTTCAGTTACGATCAGTGTCAGTATTGCAAACATTGAATTAAGCTTCCTCGTATTAGTTCTCCCAAGCCACAGAGATCCACTCTTCAGAATCTTCAAATCAAGTACAATAAAGATTAATGATGGTTTGACACGTTTGTCGCCTTCTGTACCACACCTTTTAATTCTCCTTTCAGATACGTCAAAGAAAATGGTGGCATAGACACCGAAGCCGGTTATCCGCAGCCATGTCCAAAGAGTTGTTGCTTTGAAAAAGCTTATGTAGGTGCCACCTGCACTGGTAAGTAAAATAAACACACCGTGGTTACTGAAGATTTCCGATGGTTATCGATGAACTTACACAAAAGAGAAGAGTTGTTATGATGATAATGTTGATTTTTCGCTCTCTTCCTTTTTCCCGTTCCATCAGGTTATGTTGACATTCAGCAAGGAAGCGAGCTAGCTCTTCAGTCTGCTGTGGCCGAAGTGGGTCCCATCTCAGTGGTCATCGATGCAAGTCACACCTCATTCCAGTTTTACCAAAGTGGAGTGTACAACGAACCGTAAGGGATTCATAATAATGTCATATAGCTCTCAATTAGCCCCATCTATCTACTGTCTGTCTGTTAATTGATGAGCCACTACGACATGAGTCTCACTGTTAGTCAGTCTTATTGTCTGACTAAAGGCTGATAGTTTCGAAAGAAACTGTTTGGGGCTGCGTCGGTGGGAGTAACGAAATAATTTGGATATATCAACAAAGTTGAAGTGGTAAATTAGCCACCGTAACGATTACAAAAGCTGACGTTTCGAGCGTTAGCCCTTCGTCGGAGCGAATAGAGGAATTGTGGGTTGTGTGTGCATTTAAAGGCAGAGAATGGAGTTACGTTATTGGTGGGAACATGGCAACGAGAAAAACAAGAATAA